ATCTCTTCTAAATAAGATGAACAATGAAGAAGAAAATATTCCTAAAAACAACAAGAAAAGTTTTCTTCGATTTTCTGATTTCTGAAATGTTTCGCAATTGAAAAAATTTTTCTGATTTTTCTTCAAGCAAATGCTTTGATTTTATTCTTTTTATGACTTATATAACGTCTTCATCAAAAACAACTACACAATAATTAATTAATTAAATTACGAATAAGTTTAAGTCTAAGATGACGTACATGTCGATCTCATTCTTCGACTAGCAAAGGAACGCTTTCAAGACTACCTAAAAATAAACTCAGTCTTCCGGTAAGTTTGTCGGCATTTGCGATGGCGAAACACACTTTATATCGACAAGAATATTACATATTTGCGCACATATTTAATCTTTCTTTTTTAAGAAAGATGTGCATCTTTTGCGCTTATACTTAATCTTTCAAGAGATTGAATCAAGTTTTATTTATTGTTTAAGCCTTAATGTATTTTAACTATAACATGAGAAATTTTTATAAAATTTTTTAAGCAGATTAATTTATTTGGGTCTTTGTTACTCGCGCTTTTAGTCGAGCTTCAATATATAGTTTCTATATATTCATGGAGCAACAATATGAAGAAAAGAAATTTTCTAAAAAAATTATAATCGGCCGTCGATCCGACTTTTTGCTTTAGTATTTGCGTGTTTATTATTCTGTTAATCGTAATTTATATATATATGTAGTTACATTTTATGGTCAGTTTCCTGTTTATACAGAATTCAAGCAAAATCGATATACTCCTTTTAGCTAGGTCACCTAAAAAAAATCCGGAGCATCTATCTACCAAGCGTTCTATGTATTTTATGAGTGAACGCGAGCCCAAAACTGGGTCGATTGGCCCAAGTTGTGAAAGGGGTGCACGGTTTTCCGACGAATTTATATACTGATTGATCAAAAAAAGACGTTTCGTGCGATATTAGTAACAATCTTTCCATCAAAAATTTTGTGAAAAAATAAATATTTTCAAAATTCTAAACAAACTTTCAAGTTATTTTTGACGGTTGCAAATTTTATTTCTATGGCAAATAAAGTGACTGACCGCAAGAAAGTGCAAGTTTCCTCGTATGTATATACTTGCGTTTGTAAATAGCAAAACATGATAGATATACATGAACGTGAAACTGAAAATAGATACTGCCGATTCCAGTTGTTCTGTGGTGAAACGACTTTATAAAAGTAAAACCGCGTATCGGTGAAAGTAAGTTTCGATCGTTTGAAGAAAAATAAAGATATCATTGATATGATTTTGTTCATAAGAGCAGTTAAAGTGGTACATTATTTATAAGTCAGTTCACTTTTCAAAACATATTTCTTCATAAACATATGTAAGATAAAAACAGCAACATATGTGAGGCAAAAGTATAGATGGTAGATTTTGTTTAATTCTCTATATTTTTCGAGTTTTCTTAAAGATTTATTACAGATTTTTTGTATAATTCTTTGATATTCGATGGACGACTTTTCGTTGAGATGCGAGAATATGATGCGAGAGAATATTTTGACTTGGAATAAAAGTTTCTGCAAAGGTAGAATAGAACGGAGATCGGAGAGGAGGGTAACGAGGTCAACGGGTGGGAAGCAGTAGGTGCAGATTTAGGTTACTATCTGTATATTATGCAACTAATACTACTGTAGTTTCATGATTACGCGTGGTTGCATATGCCTACTTGTGTGCTAAGTGCGGAATTGGCGATGATGTGTCAAGTTTATGTGATAAATCAAAAACCGTATATTCGTAGTAATTTAAATCTTGATACTTTTCACTGAAAATTCTCAGCGATCTATTTTTCTACGGCCACAGTTTCTGATACTTTTGTTATGGAAGAATATAAAGATCGAAGAACTCGTAGAGAAAGAAACAGCGTGCTGCAACATGCATAAAGAAGAGAGCTATGATGTCGGAATATGTATAATATAACTTTCTTTTTGTTTGCTGCAACACCACGTGACTCTTGATATCACATGGCCTTATGTAATGTGCAGAAAACAGAAGATATGTGTGTGTGTGTGAGGAGAGGAGAGAGAGAGAGAAAAAGGGAAAGAAAATGAGCGCGTTTCCTAGCGCGTTGCAACCTTGTTGAGGGACAACGGAGGTGCAACACACGCTGCATCTTTGGTCGCAGGTCGCCTATAAAAGAACTTTGTATTTATAGGCACTTGTGTCACCAAGGCCGATCCACAATTTTAACTCACGTGGATACTTCGCACCTCTCATGTGACGCTTTTTTCTTCTTCAACGTCTCATGAGAACGCTATCGTTTTTATCGACACTCTCGTACTTTTAAAATTTTTTTTAGTCAGATCTAAAGAAACAGAAAATTTGAATTTTGTTTACTTTTGTTCGTAGAATAATTGTGTTCTGTTTAATTATTTTTTCTTAAAGAATTTATCTTTAACAGTATTTCATTTTTTTTTTACATACAAACTTTGAAGTTTTAGTCAAATTTCAAACTTTGCGTGAAGCATGAAGAAAACCAGATTTTTACTTTATCTTGAATTTTTTTTTAAATGGACAACTGACAGCAGAGTTCAACGAACGGTTCCGCCTCAATATTGTTTTGACACAGCTTGGGAGAAAAAGAAAAAAAAACATAGAAAAATAAATGTTTTTCTCTCTTGCCTATTTTATAGCCATAAAAGCTTGAGAGATTTAAATAAACCCAGTAGAATAGCATATTTTTACTGAAATCTTTTGAAATTTAGCGATATATTAGAATTCCAATAATTTTGAGTACCTAGGTATCACAATTTCGACTTCTTTTTTATGAACGGGCCAATAAATTCCCCACTAATAATGATTCCTCGATTTTGAGGAACTGTGCAACTCGTAGAATACGTGCCTATCCCTATTCTAAAAGTCAAAGAAAATAGGAATATATATCTTTCGTTTCTTGCTACCAGTCGGTTGCTAACTAGAAGAGAAAGAAAATAATTTCGAACTTTAGAAGAATCGGTCTCATATGCTTGAAAGTATATACTGGGCTACTGTATTTAAAAACAAAAGATCAAGATCTGTACAAGATCAGGATATAAGATGTGCGCGCGCGTATTTTCCCCATCCTCACACACACACACATACAGAGAGAGAGAGAGAGAGAGAGAGAGAGAAAGAGAGAGAGAGAGAGAGAGGGGAGAGAGAGAGGGGAGAGAGAG